TCTGCATGGTATAGCCGTGTATGTAGATACCACAAAGTTTTGGTAGCTCAGTACTTGCTTCAGTCATCCCACATGTGCGTGCAGCAGTGCCTTGCTTCCTCTGTACTTTCTCTGGATGGAGTAGTTCTGCCTGTGGGTACCACAGTGATTTGCTAGCTCAACACTCTCTCCAAGAAGTGCAGCCTATGTAAATACTCAGCAACACCCCACTACCTCTGTACTTTTTTCTGACAGGATAGCACTGTAGGCAAATGAGGCAGCATTTTGCAAGCCCCACACTCTCTTCAGGCAGGGCAGCCCACATATTGCACGGCCCAGCAGTTGCCTGAAGCAGCGCTCTGCTGTATCTGCTGGATCAATCACCAGGTGAACGGTCCCCTTATTTGCATGCACTGGTGCCCTCCTGTTCATGCTGGGTGTAGCTTTAGGAGGGGTGACTAGGGATGCATTACTGTACCCTGAAGGTCATCCAGAGAAACTAGATTCAGCTCATACCCAATGTTTGTGTACATGGGAAATGGAAATAATGGTGCTCCCTGGTTGTGCCAGTCCTGAGTTTTTTCCTCAGCTCCTGGAGAGTTCTTGCAGTTCCCTGATCTTCTCTATGCAGTCTCCCTTGCTTGTTGTGCAGAAGCAATTAGCTCACCGTTGTCTCTCAGGAGGAAGGTCTCTAAATACAGGTGCACATCTGAGGTGTTCTGGCCGGGGAGGGATCTTAGCATCCAGCTATGCTAGTCCACTTTGGACCCACCTCGGACCCACCTCCAGGACCATACCAACTTTATGAAATAAACACCTCAACAGCACCTCAACATTCCTGGCTTAGTGATAATTTTTTTATTGGTGTCTTAAAGTAATGATTTGGTTGAAATACTTTGGGCAGAGTTGTAGCAAGAAATGGTCCTGGTGAAGCTTGAGAAGCTGAAAAAGTTAAGGATGTGTTGAATATGAATATACATAAATATAACTTCCACTATAGGTGATGCAGGTAAGATTGAGTCTGAAATCTAGCTTATAACTCAAGGTTCTTAAGTCTCTCAATCCTGTCACAATTGATAACCAAGTGATTAATATAAGAATTGGGTGTGCTAATTATCATGTAACCAAGTGATTAATACAAGAATTGGGTGTACTAATACAGAAACTCTAATTCTCTGACAGCCTGGAAATGCCAAAGATGGAAAGCACTAAAATCATAAGCTGGGATCACTATACATGCCCAATAATGTCACGGTTTCAAATTAGTGGTTCCTACAATTAGGTACATGTTCATTTCATTAGATTATGTGACAGACAATATGGAAAAATATTTTGATTTTTGATTATAAAGAGTAGCCTAATGCATATAATGAGTTATATGTTTATACTGAATCAGGTGAAAATGAGCAAAATAAATAAGATTCCCTAACATGGCTATTGCTCAAAACCTTGTCATGTTTTCCTTACAGGGGCTAAGATGTTCTTTATCTCTATTACATTCATTACCCAGCAAAATTGGGACAGTGATTGATACCATATATAGGAATGTTAGAGCCATTTTGAATAAAAGCAGGGATACTGGAAGACTACTTCTAGTATCTTATATTTCAGAGAGGGATTTTAAGTATGTTAAGCATATGGCTGCATTTTCAAAGGCCATAGACCACATATATATCAAAAGGCATATGTACCAAGGCATATGTACATCAGTACCAAGGAAAACATAAGCACTGGGAAATGATATGAACAAGATGAGTTGCAACAATATAAAGAGACAAATATATATAAAAATGAAGTGTTTCACTGAAGGTTAATTTCATGAATTCTTTTCATTTTTATAAAACTTGGATATCTTACTAGATTCAGTGGCATTTTAAGTACTGACAATTTTGAACTCAGTAACATTTGAGGTAAATAAAGATTGCTGAAAAGAAATGCATGGAGGATTTAGAAATAAAACATAATAAACAGTATATTACTTAAAATGATAAGAGATTTATATAGGTGATCTAGCACCGATAGTTTGATTCCAATTAAGGAACTGAATCAAATATTTCATAGTAGGTGTCATGGAGAATCAAACAAAATCCCAAGATGAGAAGAAAAATTGACAAAAGATCTGAAACTATTGTGTAGTGGTTGACCAAAAAAATTTACTAAATAGAAAGACCCCTAAAATTTTTTTAGTTATTGAGACAGAATGAAAAGATGTGTAAATCTAAATGTGGAAGGCTTGGGCTATCAAATTGGTTTTGACTGACTTTGAGCAATTCAACCTCAATTAGCCCCAATTCCGTTACTATGAAATGAGTGACAATAATTTCTCTGACAGTCAACTCTAAGGCATTTTAATAAATATCAAATATATCAAAATGAAATAATTGGTTTCAAATTCATTAGGCTGTAATGACTTCTAAAAATGTGAAGTATCATTGATAAAATAGCTACACTTACTTTATTTACTTATTTTTTCAACTAGGGCTGGATTTGTGCTATTTCCTCTTTTTTTATTGTTGTTCAATTGCAGTTGTCCCAGTTTTTCCCCCATTACTCTCCCCTGCCCACCACACTCCCTCAGTCAGTCCCTACCCTGTTGTCCATTAGCATGGGTCCTTTATACATACTCCTTAAAAAGTCCATATATTTAATATTTTTATGAATTAAGTTTTGTAGATATAATAAAATTTTAAATGTATCAGAAGGATATGCTGTATGAAGGCATCTTATGGGAAATCATTTGGTGAAACTAACAACTATCTAAATTTTCATATACTAGATTCTTTTAAAGTCAAGTATATTGAGAGATCTAGAATATGGGACATTTTACACCATAATAACAAGAAAAAAATAATTGTTTTCAGATTTTTGTCTAAAAAATGAGAATCTTTTCTACTTTTATGACTGTTCGCATTTTGTTCAAGTTAAGTTTGATTTAGATTTTATCATTTTTTGTGAATAATAAGCTAATAAGCTGTTTATGGTATTCCACAGGAGCAAGATTAAAGACAGTGAGAAATATGAACCTAATAAAACTGTTTACCCATAATTATTTCATTTATTTGCTGATACTGACTTCAGGGAGCTTATCGAGTGTGCACCTCATGTTTCTCATGTTCATTAGGTTCAAAGAAGTAGGTATTTAATACATTTTAATATGAGTACCCTCAGTGGTTAAATTGTTAGCGTAAAATTGTATAATTGCATGACAACCCATTTTATTTCTCTAATTTGAGTTCACTCTGTCTCTAAATGGTCTTCCCTTCTATATTTTATTCTTTATAAAAATGTAATTGTAGAAAAATTAATTTTCTTACTTTTTTAAATACATGAATCAAATCAGAAAAGCAGAATTTTTTTCCCCATGGTGTTCTTTGCACCTGTGCTTACAGCTGGTGGTCTTAAGATCATACTATGAGGTAGTTCTCTGGTCCCAAGCTCTAAGCTCAGCTTTCAGATTCCTCATATGTTTCTTAGCTACCAGTTAGAAGTTCAGATAACATATATAAGTTTCCATATAAATAATGTATTTGATAGAGTAGATATGATCTAATGGGCATGATATGTCCCATATGTAAAATAAATGCCTGTACTTCACTGAAATCTGTCTGCAAAATAGCATTCGTACCCACTCCCCACAATTAAAATAAAAAAAGAAATGTTTAGGAAATGCAAGCTCAGCTGTTTTATGAAAACTGAACACTATTTCTACAGAATTTGGATGACCTAGCAAAAATCACTGAAAACTTTGGGTCAGGTAATTTTAATTTTAATCAAGTTTAAATTAAACCAGCTTGATTTCTATACAGGCTCTCATAGGTTTTAAAGATTTACAGAAGTGAAAATTTTCATTCTCTTTCAAAGAAAATACTCTTCACATATTTCTGCCAAGCTTTATAGCTATTGTTAGAGGTTAGTGACCCCTGATGCCTAATCATTTGGGCCCTGGAAATCTATGCTCCCCAGGTCAAGAATCCTTAATCTGTTTACTAATAAATTTTATAAAGTCACAATCTTTGAAATCTATAGCCTTTAATATAGACATTAAAAGAATGTGGATTGTCCCTTACTACACCTAAAAGTCATAAGTTAATATTATGAAAGAGATCATTTGTCTAGATTGAGGTGGTACAAAATGGATTAAGTGTTCATGTTCAAAGCTTACACTATGGAAGAAGAAAAAAACACCAAATTCATGCTTTTCTGTCAGAAGATTAATCTCGAAATCCTGAGTTTTACAAAAGTTGTCAACTAAAGGACTAAAATGTACAGAAAGTAAATGATGGGTCATCTGATTTCTAAAAAGTCACTTAGTTTTTGCAGAAAGAAAAACATTATATGGAAAATGAGCAAGTGTATTTCTTTACACACTTGTTTTTTTGTGTATTTACACTTTTGAATTGTTTTTTGTGTATTTACACTTTTGACATGTTTTTTCTTGTTTATTATTATTATGAAAAATAAAATTATACAGGTAACCACCTTTTCTCTGCAGTTAGTTGGGTGTGCCAGGTATATTAATAGTTCTTATTAGCATTACTGTCATAAGGGTTGGTATTATTACCCTTACTTTACTAATGAGAAAAGGGAGACAGAGACATTAGGTAACTTGTAGCTAGCTAGTGAGTGATAGTGTCAGAATGTAATCATAGATTTACTTAACATGAATTACATTGCTTTTTATGGAGAAAACCAAATTTATGAAATCAGCATCTGTATGTTTTCAACCAGTTCTATGAGTTTATAATTTCATGTATAGCAAGATTAACATATGTAAACAAAAGTACATTTTAAAAGGCTTATATTTAAGCTTATGACTGTAGAGGTGCTTAATTAATATTAAAATCCAGGAAAATCAAAGTTGGTATTCTTCCCCTGCTTATCTTTGGATCGGTTCTCCTTTCAAATGCAGCCTTCTGTGTTATTTTTGTCCCAAAATGATGTCACATATATATTTTTTTAAAATCAAGAAATCCACAGTTGTATTAAGAAATATTTTATTAACAAAACAGTAAATTCCACTTGCTTAGCATTTCCAATAATGGATAAATTGGCCTTGCAACAGAAAAACGAAACAAAACAAACCCTTAGATACCCAGTCACACAGAGCACTAGAAGGGGAGGGTCATGTGGCCATTCTTTGATGTTTTAGGGATTGACCACATCACACATTATTGTAGTATTTGTTGTTTTGTTTTTAAAAAAGGCAACACATTACATGAATAAAAAAGAAGCAGAGTTGACCAGAAAAGTTACAGTCTAGAGATGTAATCAAATTTATGCCAGGTAGTGTGAAATCCTCTATTAACTGCAAACTATGCGTGGAACCCTGATACTTTTGGTATGAAGATAATCGGGATTTTATTCACGTCTTTTTCTCTCCCTAGCTCATGTTCCTCTCTTTTCCTTCTCCATTTTAAAAGAAAGAAGAAAAAAATTGCTAGACTTTGAGTAGGCCAATAACATTAGCAATGTTTTTACTGACAATATTAGATTATATCATTATATGGAATTTTACAGTTTATGTTGGAAAGAAATATTGAAATCAATCCCAGACAACACACTTCATGGATGTATGGTCAATGATACCATTATTTATTTTCTATCAGATTTTAGATTCTTTCCAGATGGAAACTAGGTCAAGTTGCGTAGATCAAATGGAAAAGCAACTAATTTTTATAACCTCAGGATGTGAATTAGTGGTTTTATATTAACCTTCTTATTTCACTGGCTTTCCCTGAGTAAGACTGAATGAGAGGGGGTGGGGGAAAGACATGAATTTTTTAACTGAGCAAATTTTTTTAAAAACTTGAAATATAAGTAAGTTACAGATATTAAATTTTAGTTTTATACCTCTACTTTCTAGATCGTGAAAAGTCTTTAAAACTTTTCATATACAACAATTTCTTGGCAACCAGAGATAGTGGTGATTTGCTATGAATTGTACATGTTTCTAAGGTGCTGTATGTCTGAAATCCAGGCCGCTTCTTGGCTTTATTTTTAATCAATTGAAGTATTACAAAAAACGTTTTGCATTTTTTTTTTTTTGCCTTTGCTGATTAAAGCTAATTGTAAAGGTATTCTTCTCTCCTATGACATCTAATATCATTTTAGGAGATGTTAAAATAATGCAATCAATTTATACTGAGGCATCACCTTCCAATCTCATAATGCATTTCCTTTGCATTACCTTCTCATGTTGATAATTTATTGCTATGAACATCATTGAAACAATATGCAAAACAAGTGTATAATCTATACTTTCCTACTATTTGTGTGTTAAATTAGAACCTTTAATGATATAGATGTAAAACCACAAAAGTTAAAATATAGTCAATAATCAACAAATAAAGAATGGTTTTTAAAAAGATAGTAATACAGAATCAAAAATTATTGAAAATACTTTCTTAGCTGAGAAAGTGTTTACTTTCCAAAATGTTTATCATGCACATTAGGTTCAGAGAAAAAAGAAATAATTTTATTGGAAACAAAGTTTTCAATTGCAGCAACCAGGGTTAAGATGTATATCAACCAATTTTGCTCTGTAACCTCCCCACATAATGGTTCGTATTCATGTAGCAAGATATCATTAATATTCTATCTGATAAGAAAAGGTTCCATTTTATTAGGGACTAAAATCTTCTGGGAATTTCTTGGGAGCATGATCTCGATGAAGCAAATCACTCCATTTGACATCAATACCTTGGCACAACTGTCTTCCTTCCTGCTTTTCAATTTGTTAGTAAATATTTGTTAGCATATATATGTTTGAGTCTTTCATCAGATCTGATGGATTACTCTGGATTTGTGTGTGTGTGTGTGTGTGCATCTGTGACTGTGAATAGTGAATGTATGTGGGGAATGTGAGTATTTTGGGGGAAAAAGATTATTAAGATACATATGTATATATTTTACCTTCTAATTCACACCTTTCATACAAATACTAAAACTCAATTGTAACAGAATGAAGGCTGTACATGTAAGAAAAAATGTAGCTGAATCTTTTTATATACATTCATACATATCTTTCTTGGAATAAACACTACATTGTAACTTTATTTTAAAAAAGTAAGTAATTGTGGCAATTTATTATGATGGCAAAAAAACAAAACAAAGTAAAACAAAACCCTGAAATAATTGTTGCTCTGACGTCATAAAACTCCCTATACTTAGCAACACTTATAACATTGAATTTACCAAAAATGGCTGAAGAGCAGAGATATATTTTGCATTTTCTATACAACAGGCTATAAAACGTCACTTACCACAGTCCAGAAAGCACACAGAGATGGATTTTATATAAACATATGTAATAACATATTAAGCGTGCATGAAAATTTTCCAATGATTGCATCTATGCCCTCTTGTTTTTGTTCTGAAATTTTAGTGTGAAAATGTGCCTTATATTTCACATTGTTTTGAAAATAAGGCCGCCATACTTTTTTTTTTCCCTCACAATCAGAAAGGGGCTTTTTGAATGTGTTCCTACACAAGTCTTCAAAAAAGCCAGCACTTTGTTTCAAATACAAGTTCCAACCACTGCTCCACTTGCGCCAGGCAGCAAACTCTTATAGATTTGCAGGTCGAGTCACTCAAAATGACATAGTCTTCTCTGGCAATAGGACTATCTGACTTGTCAGGAAAGCGCTAGCACTTTGGCTAAATCCAGGATCATAGGTAGCTTCTTTTTTTTGTGTGTGTGTTGTGTTTTGGGTTGTTTTTGTGTTGTGCCTTGATGTTGTAATACTCCTTTGCTTTATGAATGCGTGCGGTCATCACTGTCTTTTAGAAATGTTCCAGCAACATAAAGACAGGCAGAGTAAATGAAAACACTGTGGATGTTAGGGAATTTATTGGCCCCTGCTTTTTTATTTTCTTTTTTGGAGAAACAAGAGCATGAGATACTTGTTTTTATTTTTTAAAAACAGTCTTTCCTTCCTGATTGCATTCCCTGTCTTCTTTTGTGTGTGCTTCATAAAAAGGAAAGTAAATAAGTTTATATTATGTCTCAGATAAAATGAAGACTATTTCTATACACGGTCCTTTTAAGATCTTGGAATCAGACGTAATACTCTTTATCCTTGTTTTTCTTATTTTTGTTGGCGCTTTTCGCACTGCTGGGTTGTTTCTCCTTTACAACAGCCCCATTGGACTGTGCTGAGTTACTGATGTAGTTTCGACTCTCATCCACGTGGTATGAGCCTTCATCCCGGTTTCTGTACTTGTACATGGCATAAAGGAGAATGAGGATGCACAGGGCGGCGGCGGCCACTATCCCTACCACCATGCCTGTGGTGCTGCTGGACTCCCGAATCACTTCTGCTGGGCCTGGGTATGGCTCTCTACCCCCTGCTCGGGTTGGGTTGGCTATAGGAGAGAGGGCGAGAAAAAAAAAACACAAATTGATTATCAAGTTCACTGAATGCTTGAGACCTACAATGCCATTTACCGTCTATTTCCACACCCATTGGAACAGCAACTACTGCTTTAGGAAATGTATACTGCTATTAAGGTTGGGATCCCTGTACCTCATGGTCCGTAAAAACTGGACACCATGAATCAAAGCACTTGGCAAGAGATTGGTTGCCATATTTTCTTTCTCACAGATCAATTTTGTTAACAAGGTCTTGTAAGTGCAGCCCCAAATATGCTCCACATACCTCTAAAGGGCCATGTTAATGTGTTGGGTGAAAAACCATAAACCCAAAATGGAAAATAAAATCATAATGGCCCTACATTATAATATTAGAAGGTATCAATTTAAGAATCAAATTGATGTTAAAATAGAAGAACACTTAAATAAGCTAACTCTACTTTCCGGATCAGGATGGCTAAATTTAGGATTATTTATGCAATCATATTGCCTCATAGTATTAAATATAGTATTGTACAATAGGATAATCCAGATATTTTGCCTAATCTAACTTCCTGTTGTAAAAATGTGATTTTAGTCATATCTTTGTGAACTAAAACACAACTAATTCCTTTTTCTGTTAGAAGTTTATTTGTTTACATAAGTATTATGTATGTAATTCATTTGTTGGTAGCAGTTGAATGGTCTCCAAAACTAAATTTGGAAGGATAAAATAAAATATTTTTCTCCATTTTGTAGACCACCTAGATTGGTTTTGAGTCAAAATTCAGTACCTAATAGAGGATGATAAATAAAGGACTGGCTCGCCCACTTTTATTCAGCTGGAAAAACCCTCATTCAATCTCTCCAAAGTATAAAGAGTGAAAAAGCTCTTCCTTTGGTACAAGAAATGGATTATAGGGTTCTTTAATGTCTTCTCAAAGGCCTCCTCAGGCACTGAAAATGACTATAGAGGGGGAGAAAACATCTTGGGATTTAGCTATAGATCAGGGGAGGTGAAGGGTGACTCTTTTTCTCTACAAAATACACTTAAAATTTTTTTTGAAAGAATTTAAAAGGATAGGAACTATAGAGAGATAAGATTCTATCCCATTTCTTTCTGACCTGAGGTCATTTTTCTTTATCAATTGTATTTTCTGTCTTTCTCTGAATCTCCATCCTCTCCCTTGTCTTTACAACAACAACAAAAAAGATTACTTTTCAGATGTAAGGGATTAATCTTTCAAAACTTTATTCTTTGTAAATTATGCAGAATGAATTCAAGTAATCACCCGATTGCAAATGTATCAGATATACAGGCATGTGTTTATATGGGGGACTGTTTGTGTATGTATACTCACATCAGAAATTAAACAATTCAAGAAGACTAAGATCGTGCTTTTATTTTACTACTATTAAACATCATTTAGGAATTATTTTTAAATATTCCTACAGAAGTTTCTATTACTGGGAATCATTTACTAACTGCAACTCTATACTGCTTTATAATTTCATTTTCAAACATCACTAAGATTTCTGCTCTCTATAGGTGGGTTTCTGGCTGTTATTTTTTTTTCCTTCCCCAAATAAGGTCTTGCAAATATAGTCACTTACAAAGTAACAGCCTTCAGTTTCAAAGCAGCAATATGCTGTGTTCTGAGCAACAAATTATAGCAGGTGAAATCTTTCTGTGTTGATTATGTCACTGCTTGTTTTACAAAAGACCAGGTGATATTGCTGAATAAAGAGCCTTGGCATTGCTTCTGTGGCCAAGGTAGACAAAGACAAAGCCTATAATCCACAGCATTTGATTACAGGAAATTAATTTCCTCTGAAGAAGAACAGAACCTGCTGCAGGAACTCTGTCACTACCTGACAAACCAGAGGCGGCACTTTCTCTGTTAAATACAGTCATCGTGGCCAAAGTCTGGCAATTAGCTCAGCTGCTAACTTTCACTAAATGGCAACTTTCTACCTGCTCATTTTGAGGAGTGTTCCTTTACCACGGTGTCACAAGAGCTGAAAAAGAAATTTTTACTTAAATGTTACCTAAATCTTTTCGCCCACCATGTGGGAGCTTTCATTTTAAGCGCATTTTCATAATGATCTCATTTTGTCTGTCTGTCAGAAAACAATGGGGAGAATGAAGATAAAATCCTATTCATACAGCTCATAATAGCAAGACTTGAGAGTTTTAATGGAATGCCAGGTTTAAATGTTCTATACTAAGAATATATATGTACATTCTCCCCAGTTAGGAATTGGTATCATAAATGAACTATCCTATCCAATAACTTTAATTATATTTTATCAGCTTAAATACTTCTGATATATTTTCACAACAACAGTATAAATAGCACACCAACCATTTGATGTTAAAACTAGAATAAGATTTCACAGACCAAAAGAGAAAAGAAGCCTCAAATGCATCAATTTTGCTTTATTGCTGTTTGATAAACACCTTGTATTTAAGGAAAATACTTCTGTTTTTTGCAGCTCCAGACAAAATGTTGATTAAGTCACATGCAGGCCTAAAAATAGCTCTGTGAGCCATATGCACATAAAGATTCTGAATATGTTCTTTAAAAAACCTACCAAATAAACCCAAAACTCAATGAAGAAAGATTTTATCCTGTTTCCCCTTGATTAACATTAACAAATTAATAATCACCACAGGTATTATTATAGACCTCTTTAGTGTATGCAGTTGCTTCTATACATAATTTATTATTTAATAACTATTTTCTGTGTATGCTTCAAATCTAAGGCTAAGTGGTATTTTTCTTAACTTTTGTCTAAGAGCAGAAGTATTAATAATAATAAATAAAGGCCTGACTAGCCCACTAAAGTGTTAATGGAAAATTTCTCTATGATGTGCAATAAAAGGCTAGAGAAATTTACATATGTTCATGAATTATAAATGTGGCTTCACTTATTAATTGTCATTAATGGTTTATTTTGATGATCATTGAAAACCATCTGGGAAAATTTTATATTAACTTAAATGTAAAGAATAGTATAAATGGCTAAAAAAGCTAAATGTCTTTTTATATAATTTGGTTAAAATTTTGCATAAAAAAGAAATACACTCATTTTTTAGCCATTTATGAAAATGTGAAAAAATTAATTTAACCAGAGAAATCCATAAACAATTCTTAAATTTCATGGACTTGTGAATTTTGCATTCCCTTTAAACTCCATAATAAGCTAAATTAAGACATTTTAAATAATGAAATCTACATTTTTCCCTAGCATTGCTAAGAAATGAATAAAAGAACTACAATTTACTTTCACTCTGACACCTTTTCTTTGTGCCAACATGTGATGAGAACACTTAAAAAACAGGTAAAAGATAAAGGAGGGGCACTTAAAGAATGGAATACATAGAAATTAGCAGTAAGTCCTTGAATGGTCAAAAGTTGACTGATTCAAAGGAAGCCAATTCATTACATCAGGCCCAGAGGCTAAAGGAGCCCAGGGCAGTAGAAAGCTTCAATAGGACCAATGATGAACACTAAATAACGAAGGCAGATAAGTATTACTTGGTGTGACTGGACATAGGCAAGCAGGCAGGCATTCAACTTTGGTGTTAACATACATATTTTAATTAGAGACTAGGTTACTAGCAAAAAATTTAAAAAAAAAAGAGTAGATGAAATATCCTAAGCAGTTAGTTCCATTTATACCTTCTATTTCAATGACTCTATTCATATAAGAAATCATGAATTACATACAATTTATATGAACACTGTAACAATAGAAGATTTTCCTTATTAAAAGTTTCCCACGTAATTCTGAGTATTTTACTAAAGGTCACCCGGCATCACGTACCCCTCAGAATTTGCTGGGATGGTGTGGACACTGCTCGATCTGCTACATGTGGGCAAAGCGCACACGTGCACCTTACTGGCAATATAAAGACTCGATTTCTGCCTAAATGAGTCAGAAGCTATTCACTGCACGGCAGGGACAAAGACCTGTCATGAGGGATTTAATCTCTTTCACATAAGCCACTTTTCAGCCAAATGGCTATGGAAATATTCCTGGGACGCATGTACAGATAGTGTTATCTTAAAGGACAGATGAAAAATGGTTTTTAATTCTGTCTCTCTGGCTTTGTCTCTCTCTCAAATATTTGGCCAGATCTGATTGTCTCTAGAAGTTTTTCACATGGTCTGCTTTGGCCCAGATTTATTAAGAATCCTGTATACTAGCTCTATTAATTTTCTTGTTTTTCATTGTCTAATTAATGTTATGATTACTTAGGTAGGCATTGCCTTTCCAGTGTTAAGATACTTCTTAACATATTTCCACATTATACCCTAAAACCAGTTTATTCATGTCAGATAATAATTCTGGTGGAAGATGTACAGGAAATGCAAAACACGTATCCCAGTGCTTTACCACATAAATATAATAAACATATTTGCTGCTTTGCACTAAAAAATTAAAAAGTGAAATATTTAAAATTTTAACACCCTTAAATTTACTGACTAGATATTTTAAACTACCACCACAAGAAAAGAGAATTGCCCTGATGTACGTTCTTACTTTATTTTTGACAGTCCCTGGCACTGTATCTGTGAAAGAACATCATTTCCCCAAATAGAATCTAATTTAGACCCAGTTAAGAAACACCATAGTACAAACATGTTTAAGAGGCACATTAGGTGGTAGTGCAGAGAACTTTTTGTGACAGGTCTCATTTCTTCCCAGCTCCTCCGGTCCTCTGTCACCATCAACCCTATGATCCTCTCTAGTCTTCTTCTTCCTTCTTCCTGTCCTTCTCTTTATCTGTTCCATGGGTCTTTTTCCCTGCTTGTCACTCATCCATGAAGGTGGCTCTCAGAGAGCATAGTGTGTCCCTGCCTACTCTCAGCTAAATGAAGGCCAGACCAGCAGGGGTGAGCACTCTCTGCCTCTGGGATAAGTGCATTACTCAGCAAGGTGTTCCATGTGTTGTACTGCCAAGCTCCTAATTTCAAAGCATAATGTAAAATAGTCCTTACTGTCA